CTCTCTCTCTCTCTCTCTCTCTCTCTCTCTCTCAGGTCTATTCGTCACTTCTGGAGTGTTGGTTCGGTCAACACAAAAGTCCTAACGATTATTGGAACCCTACACAGGATGGTAGCGAACACATACGATGTCCGAGATTTACCCGCAGTTATGGAACTATATTGCACAGAGCTCAAACTGATGGAATACCCGTGGGAGGTACCTCGAGCGGCAATACTGGCCTACATCAGAAATTGTAAGGACAATGACGTACGCAATATGTTCCTGGAATGGACTGAAGAAGCACGGCAACTAGAAAAACACACAGCATGGAGAAAGATCTGAACGGAAGCATTGAAAGATAATTCCGAAACCAAGGCAGCAAAAACCAGAGCTGTGAACAAGAAAAAACAAAAACAAAAACAAAAACAAAAACATCAACAAAACGAAACACGAGATGTCAGCGGGAGAGAAATGCGGATATAACAAATGATACCGAACGAATGTAATGCAAACATTATGGAAGACAATTGGAAATGACGCTGGACCTTTTTGTTTCATGAAGCGTAATATTCCAAAGGAAATAAAGAGTCCGGTACCAAGAGAAACCGGGGAAGCAACCGTGAGAAATTTATAAACAATATAACTCACCTGTGAAAGAAGTAAAAAGAAATTTCCAAGAAGTCCGAAAAATTCCATAATACCATGCAAGCAGACAACAAACAAAATCAGTAAAATGAATGTAAACTTACACTCAAACCAAATTCATTCACGTAAATTTCACAAAATATAAATGCAATGTATCACGACGAGAAAGAGTGAAATTCCAAGGACAAAATGAACGCGGACAGCAAAGAAATCGAGTGTAGCGGAATACGGACGCAATTGCGAACAGGTACGGAGAGTATAGAAATGTGAAGTTATATTGCAGCAGCGAATCACGCGACGACATCAACTACGGAAGCCCAGACATGCGACGGAGGTACGATGATGAGGAGAGTTCTGCCAGGGATAGAGGTTGAAGGACAGGAAGGACTCGGATCAGTAGGGTATAAATATTTGAGACAGTGGCTGTGATGATTACCTGAGCAGTGAGGCAGAAGGGTAGTTGCGGCAAGTAGATTGTCGCATGCCATGGACAGGACGTGTATACTGTGAAAGTAAAGCCTCGCACGTGTTGTCTACATATTGCAAGTGTGTATCTCTCTCTCTCTCTCTCCTCCTTTCATTCTCTCCATCTGATATGTGTGTGTGGGAGGGGGGGGGAAGTTTGGATTCTCTCTCTCTCTCTCTCTCTCTCTCTCTCTCTCTCTCTCTCTCTCTCTCTCTCTCTCTCTCTCCTTCCTTCCTTCCTTAGAGCAAATTCGCATTAGGACTTTCGTGGCTGCATCTGGCTGCCACAACTAAGGCTGTGCCTTGATGTATCTGACTGCAATTACATACTTTTGGCTTTTGGAAGTCCTTTTTGTAGGATGTTTCTTTTGGCCAAAGATATGATGATTGGTCAATTTGGTTTAGGTTTTGGGCAAAATTTGGCAAATTCCATCTTTATACTACCAAAAAGCAACAGTATGTTTTCGGAAAAAAAAAGAACACCCCCTATTTGTCACCCTGAAGAAAAGATAATTTTTTATTATTTTTCAAATAATTTTTGTTTTTTTTGGCAGTACGAAAATATAATTTCCCATACCTTTCTCTGAAACAGTTTTCACCTTTGGCAGTAGCCGATGCAGATCCCAGGGGTCGATCCCTTGACCTCAGCTTACC